ATAGTCTAGTCTATAGTCTAGTCTATAGTCTAGTCTATAGTCTAGTTTAGTCTAGTCTATAGTCTAGTCTATAGTCTAGTCTATAGTCTAGTCTATAGTCTAGTCTATAGTCTAGTCTATAGTCTAGTCTATATAGTCTATAGTCTAGTCTATAGTCTAGTCTATAGTCTAGTCTATAGTCTAGTCTATAGTCTAGTCTATAGTCTAGTCTATAGTCTAGTCTATAGTCTAGTCTATAGTCTAGTCTATAGTCTAGTCTATAGTCTAGTCTATAGTCTAGTCTATGTCTAGTCTATAGTCTAGTCTATAGTCTAGTCTATAGTCTAGTCTATAGTCTAGTCTATAGTCTAGTCTATAGTCTAGTCTATAGTCTAGTAGTCTATAGTAGTCTATAGTCTAGTCTATAGTCTAGTCTATAGTCTAGTCTATAGTCTAGTCTACAGTCTAGTCTACAGTCTAGTCTATAGTCTAGTCTAAACAATGTATATTTTTCTCATTTACAGTTTTTAACCGCCACTGCTTTACTAACGTTTTCCTTTCCGGCTGACTATCCCACACAAAGAACCGGTTGGCAGCGATTTACGGGATTTTTTCTTATACTCCTGGTCACAATATCACTACTATTGGCTTCCGGTTGTTTAACCACAATTTTACATTACAAGTAAATACATATAACCAAAATATTAAAAAAAAATAAAAACTTACCCCATTAACCCGATTTTCAGAACCGTTGAAGAATATGTAGCAGTACCTCTTTTTCATATATTAGATGAAAATAATTTTCACAAACTGGTGCCAGCAGCGGCCTGCATGTTAATGCTAACAGTGACCGGAGGTTTTCTGGAACTATTTCCGGAATTGTATCGCATTATTGTAAGATTTGCCACTTCCGAGTGGAGAATTTTAAACCAAACAAATTGCCTATGAAAGTTCGGATAGTGGTAATCCGGTGCTGGCAGTGTTTATAGCAGGTGGGTTCTTAGAAATAACAATTCATAATGTTTAGTTATATGTATGTATATCTACGCCAACAGGAAAGTTTATGCGCCATGTTGTCCTTTGGCCTGTCCTCTGCAAAATCTTAGCCATACCTTTGCGGCTAGTCATTTGTGTGCGGTCTTCTTTCGAGCGTTTTATTTGCTGTACTCGCCTTTTAGGCCCAAATTCATATTACAATCAAGTGAGTTTTGTTTGTTACGAAAAATTACAACGTAAAATTACTTAAGAATTTGACATATTTATTTTAGACACCGATTCTACTTTATCCTATAGTCCGTCTTTCAAACCGAACCCATTACCCATAGTTCCTCAGCTTCTCGCTTAAAGCGCAGTCTATGGAACTTAAGTGTTGGCAAACAGGTGCCCAGTAAAAAGCCCAAGAATAAACCGAAAAACAAACAGGAAGTCGAAAAGGAATGGTTACTTTTGGGTGAACCTACATCGCCTTGTCCCCAAAGGGAACCTAAAGATGTAGAGTCCACGATTTTGTCAGATGGAGAACCACCGGTACAGAACTTTCAAACATTTTTCATTTATATATTTTATTAAAGTTTCTGTTTTTTCACTAGCCCTCTGATTTTGAGTATCCCGATAAATTTGATAATTCCGATTCGGATACTTCGACCGATATCGATGCGATTGTGGATGAGTATAGACAAAAGGTTAAAGTAACCACTGCTGGTCCTTTGGATCGCACAGCTCGTGTGCCTACTGTCTCTTCGTGGAGAGTTACCATATTTGCCATTGTTTGTGGTATTTTTGGGTATTGCTTTAAGCTTAGCAGGAATTTATATGCAATGGCCGCCGGCAGCTTTAACGGGATCTATAGGTAAAAGAGAAATCCATATAAAAAACGAATCAATCTGGAGCATAACTAATAAAAAATTTGCAACGTTTAGGCAAAAATGAATAAAATCTTTGATAAATCTTATTTTCTACTAATACCCCTTATACGTCTCTTATTACAAAATGATCTCATATATTTTTTTCTATTTAGGAGTCTTCATTATCAGTCTAATGATGCCTTTAATACCCAAATACACCGGCAGTGTGGTTAATGTCAGTCCGGTTATTTGCTGTTCGAGCATATTTATCGGTGGCATTCTATTCGCTTCATGTGCTCAAAACTCTTGGCCCGCTATAGTATTTTGGATACTGGCCGGTTTAATCATGCTCATACGCTGTGATAATCTCTGCTGTGCATGTCTCAAATCAAACGTCCACCATCAATGAACAACTAATACCCAGTGTTTCGGCCAAGACAACGACAACAACAACAACAACAACAACAATACGTATGCCTAGACCACCTAAAGGTATTGTTACATACCCACCCGAGTCAATGCACCCAGATGACAATCGAGTCCTCGGAGGGCGAAGATTTGTTCAATGAGGACTTTAATATACGAGACTTTGAGAAGATTATGATTAAAATAATGACTGTTGGACGGAGTAGTACAGAAAAATGGAATGAAAAGTATTAAATATTAAACCCATAAAGGTGTTATTCAAGTGATTTTTAAAATGCTTTAAAGTTTTGCCTCAACATACAACACCGTACTAGAAAAAAAAACTAAGTAATTAATTGCCAGAATTGAAGAAAAAACCAACCAAAATTTTTGATTATATTTAAAAACTAATTAGACGAAATTTTTATGAACAATTTTATCTCAATTATATTGCAAAAGGTTAAAAATAAAACTATTTCGATTTAAGATTTAATAAACCAAAAATACAATTTAACGTTTTTGTACAGGCTTTACCATTTTTTAGATAATAAGACATTTATTAAAGTTATATACTTATATATAAAGGGAACGGAGAGAGGAGTATTGTTAATGAAAAATAAACGAAAATTCTTAATATGAAAATTTAAAACCATAAAAAAGTTTTAATTATTTAAAAACTATCAAGTAGTTCGACTTCATATGGCGAGTCAGAACTAAAAGTGAACTAGGGCAGAACTAGAATAGAACAGGAAATCAACTAGAAATGAACTAAAATTTAAGTAGAACTGAACTAGAACTGAACTAAAACTGAACTAGAACTGAACTAGAACTGAACTAGAACTGAACTAGAACTGAACTAGAACTGAACTAGAACTGAACTAGACTGAACTAGAACTGAACTAGAACTGAACTAGAACTGAACTAGAACTGAACTAGAACTGAAGAACTAGAACTGAACTAGAACTGAACTAGAACTGAACTAGAACTGAACTAGAACTGAACTAGAACTGAACTAGAACTGAACTAGAACTGAACTAGAACTGAACTAGAACTGAACTAGAACTGAACTAGAACTGAACTAGAACTGAACTAGAACTGAACTAGAACTGAACTAGAACTGAACTAGAACTGAACTAGAACTGAACTAGAACTGAACTGAACTGACTAGAACTGAACTAGAACTGAACTAGAACTGAACTAGAACTGACTAGAACTGAACTAGAACTGAACTAGAACTGACTAGAACTGAACTAGAACTGAACTAGAACTGAACTAACGAACTATACTGAAACTAGAACTGAACTAGAACTAACCTAGAACTGAACTAGAACTGAACTAGAACTGACCAGAACTGAACTAGAACAGAACTAAAACTGAACGAGAACTGAACTAGAACTGAACTAGAACTGAACTAGAACTGAACCAGAACTGAACTAAATTGAACTAGAACTGATACTAGAACTGACCTAGAACTGAACTAGAATAACTAGAACTGAACCTAGAACTGAACTATAACTGAACTAGAATGAACTAGAACTGAACTGAACTAGAACTGAACTTGAACTAGAAATGAACTAGAACTGAACTAGAACTGAACTAGAACTGAACTAGAACTGAACTAGAACTGAACTAGAACTGAACTAGAACTGAACTAGAACTGAACTAGAACTGAACTAGAACTGACTAGAACTGAACTAGAACTGAACTAGAACTGAACTAGAACTGAACTAGAACTGAACTAGAACTGAACTAGAACTGAACTAGAACTGAACTAGAACTGAACTAGAACTGAACTAGAACTGAACTAGAACTGAACTAGAACTGAACTAGAACTGAACTAGAACTGAACTAGAACTGAACTAGAACTGAACTAGAACTGAACTAAACTAGAACTAGAACTGAACTAGAACTGAACTAGAACTGAACTAGAACTGAACTAGAACTGAACTAGAAACTGAACTAGAACTGAACTAGAACTGAACTAGAACTGAACTAGAACTGAACTAGAACTGAACTGAACTAGAACTGAACTAGAACTGAACTAGAACTGAACTAGAACTGAACTAGAACTGAACTAGAACTGAACTAGAACTGAACTAGAACTGAACTAGAACTGAACTAGAACTGAACTAGAACTGAACTAGAACTGAACTAGAACTGAACTAGAACTGAACTAGAACTGAACTAGAACTGAACTAGAACTGAACTAGAACTGAACTAGAACTGAACTAGAACTGAACTAGAACTGAACTAGAACTGAACTAGAACTGAACTAGAACTGAACTAGAACTGAACTAGAACTGAACTAGAACTGAACTAGAACTGAACTAGAACTGAACTAGAACTGAACTAGAACTGAACTAGAACTGAACTAGAACTGAACTAGAAACTGAACTAGAACTGAACTAGAACTGAACTAGAACTAATGAACTAGAACTGAACTTAAACTGAACCAGAACTGAACTAGAACTACTACTATATACTTTCTGTATGAGTAAGTAAAAAGTGTGGAAAATTAAGTAAAATAACCACTTCTGAAATATTTTTGTGTTCAGAAAAAATATGTGTGTATAAGATTTGCTATTATTTTGCCGTTTACTGTTATTTATATCTTTGACATTATTAATCTTACTCTTTATATGTTTATTAGTTCTCTCAAAATCACAAAAAGTGATAACAAAATAAATCTCATATCTATTATGATTAAATTTAAATAGAAATATCTTTACCATTAAGTGTTACTTACTGGTTTATTTAAATTATAAACGACAATCAGTCACATTTGAAATTCAACCTGAAGTGCAACATGACATCCAAAAGCGGACCTCAGCTTTTAACGGTGGAAGAGTGTTTAGAAATTATAAAAAATGATTTAAAGCACAAAGATACCAGCAATATAAAACTACAAACATATACGATTAAAAAGTGTTCAGCAGATTTGGTGGGGTTTATGGGGGAGTATTATAAATTGGAAGTGGAAGCTAAAAACGAGGTAAAAAATGAAAAAAAAAATCTAATTAAACAAAAAAAAAAAACTAAAAATTTTCCATTTAGATTGCCCAGGAAACTATAAAACTTAGTTATTTTCTGAAATCTCTGCCGTTGGACAATGAACTCTATCGGGATGAATGTGAACGTAAAGGTTTCTTTACAAAAGAATCTGAAATTTATCGAAATATTCTACCCCATATACAAAAGTATACCCAGAGGCCTTTATATCCACAGGCCTATTTGACACGTCGAGATTTATTAGTTTTAGAGGACTTTTCTAGAAGCGAAAAACGTCTCAAACAAATGCAACCCCATGAAATTTATACTTTAAAACATTATCAATTATATTTACAACATTTAGCGGAACTACATAGCGCCAGTTTGGCTTGGGAATTTAAGGAAAAAATTAATATTGGTCAGCAATTTGAAAAAACCCTATATGAGCTACAGCTGATCAATACCAATGAGTGGTATATAACCGGCATAAAGGTATGTTTTTGGAATAACATATTTCTAGAAAACCCACTTAAATTTCCTTTATAGGCCATTTTATTTCTAGCTCAACAGCATCCCAAATTTCAGTATGAAAAAGCTTTAGAATTCATTAATCATAAACTTTACAGTATTCTCCTTAATATGGAAGATTTTACTAAACCCTCTCATACACTACGAAATGTTTTGTGTCATCGTGATTCTTGGGATCGTAACATCTTCTGGGAACTAGATGAGCACAATCAACCTATAGCTTGCCGTATGGTGGACTTTCAGCTAACACGCTACAGTCCACCCGCTATAGATGTATTATACTTTCTTTATAACAATTTTGAAAGCCCCCAACAACGATCGAAATTATTAAAAGATCTTTTAAGTTACTATTATCAAGCTTTAAGGGAAGCTTCCAAACGCATGGATTTACCGGAAGATTTAATAACTGAAGCAGAATTTAATCAAGATTGTCAACGTGCTTTATTACCGGTCTTAACTTTACGAGCAATTTGTGAACCTTTAATGAAATTACCAAAAGGTTTCTCACAAACGATGCGTGATATAGAACCGGAAACATTTGATTGTTATATGAATTCGGATCGTACGGAAATGTTTAGTCGGGTATCTGCTATAGATTCAAGTTATATGGATAAAGTTTTATTGCCTGTACAGGAACTGCTGGAATATTTTGATTTGCTGCCAAAATAAAGAGTAATAAATTACGGCTATGCCGTATCCATAATACCCTTCACCAACAAGTTTTTTATTAACGTGTCGAATTTTTATAAAATAGAATCGTATGTAGATATCATTAAAACTAAATCGGCATTAACACGTTTTTGAAAAAAAAGCTTATTTTGATCACTCTCATTTTCCAGCAAAAATCGCTGTTCTTGTCAAGAATATAAATCGCTTATAATGCGTTTAAATAGAAAAATAAGCTTATTTTGTGATCACTCATATTTTCCTTCAAAAATCGATTTTATGGGTCAAAAATCATGAGAAAATTAAAATCGCTTTTAACTTCGTTAAAACGCGTTTAAATAGAAAAATAAGCTTATTTTGTGATCACTCTCATTATCCCTCAAAAAACGATTTTTTGGTGAAAAATCGTATAGAAACTTAAATCGCTTATAACTTCGTTAAAACACGTTTAAATTGAAAAATAAGCTTATTTTGTGATCACTCTCATTATCCCTCAAAAAACGATTTTTTGGTGAAAAATCGTATAGAAACTTAAATCGCTTATAACTTCGTTAAATTGAAAAATAAGCTTATTTTGTGATCACTCTCATTATCCCTTAAAAATAGATTTTTCGCTTATAACTTCGTTAAAACACGTTTAAATTAAAAAATAAGCATATTTTGTGATCATTATTATTATCCCTTAAAAATCGATTTTTTGGTCAATAATCATATAGAAACTTAAATCGCTTACAACTTCGTTAAAACACGTTTAAATTGAAAAATAAGCTTATTTTGTGATCACTCTTAATATGCCTTTAAATTGGATTTTTTTGTCAAGAATCATATAGAAACTTAAATCGCTTATAACTTCGTTAAAACACGTTTAAATTGAAAAATAAGCTTATTTTGTGATCACTCTCAATATCCCTTAAAAATCGATTTTTTAGTCAAAAATCATATAGAAACTTAAATCGCTTATAACTTCGTTAAAACACGTTTAAATTGAAAAATAAGCTTATTTTGTGATCACTCTTAATATCCTTCAATAATCGATTTTTTGGTCAAAAATCATATAGAAACTTAAATCGCTTATAACTTCGTTAAAACACGTTTAAATTGATAAATAAGCTTGTTTTGTGATCACTCTCATTATCCCTTCAAAATCGATTTTTTGGTCAGAAATCATATAGAAACTTAAATCGCTTATAACTTCGTTAAAACTCGTTTAAATTGAAAAATAAGCTTATTTTGTGATTACTCTTAATCCCCTAAAAATCGATTTTTTAGTCAAAAATCATATAGAAACTTAAATCGCTTATAACTTCGTTAAAACACGTTTAAATTGAAAAATAAGCTTGTTTTGTGATCACTCATATTATCCTTCAAAAATCGATTTTTTGTTCAAAAATCATATAGAAACTTAAATCGCTTATAACTTCGTTAAAACACGTTTAAATTGAAAAATAAGCTTATTTTGTGATCACTCTCATTATCCCTTCAAAATCGATTTTTTGGTCAGAAATCATATAGAAACTTAAATCGCTTATAACTTCGTTAAAACACGTTTAAATTGAAAAATAAGCTTATTTTGTGATCACTCTCATTATCCCTTAAAAATCGATTTTTTGTTCAAAAATCATATAGAAACTCAAATCGCTTATAACTCTGTTAAAACACGTTTAAATTGAAAAATAAGCTTATTTTTTGATCACTCATATTATCCTTCAAAAATCGATTTTTTGTTCAAAAATCATATAGAAACTTAAATCGCATATAACTTCGTTAAAACACGTTTAAATTGAAAAATAAGCTTATTTTGTGATCACTCATATTATCCTTCAAAAATCGATTTTTTGTTCAAAAATCATATAGAAACTAAATCGCTTATAACTTCGTTAAAACACGTTTAAATTGAAAAATAAGCTTATTTTGTGATCACTCATATTATCCTTCAAAAATCGATTTTTTGTTCAAAAATCATATAGAAACTTAAATCGCTTATAACTTCGTTAAAACACGTTTAAATTGAAAAATAAGCTTATTTTGTGATCACACTCATTATTCCTTCAAAGTCGATTTTTTGGTCAAAAATCATATAGAAACTTAAATCGCTTATGACTTCGTTAAAACACGTTTAAATTGAAAAATAAGCTTATTTTGTGATCACTCTCATTATCCCTTAAAAATCGATTTTTTGTTCAAAAATCATATAGAAACTCAAATCACTTATAACTCTGTTAATACACGTTTAAATTGAAAAATAAGCTTATTTTGTGATCACTCTCATTATCCCTTCAAAATCGATTTTTTGGTCAAAAATCATATAGAAACTTAAATCGCTTATAACTTCGTTAAAACACGTTTAAATTGAAAAATAAGCTTATTTTGTGATCACTCTCATTATCCCTTCAAAATCGATTTTTTGGTCAGAAATCATATAGAAACTTAAATCGCTTATAACTTCGTTAAAACTCGTTTAAATTGAAAAATAAGCTTATTTTGTGGTCACTCTCATTATCCCTTCAAAATCGATTTTTTGGTCAGAAATCATAGAAACTTAAATCGCTTATAACTTCGTTAAAACACGTTTAAATTGAATAATAAGCTTATTTTGTGATCACTCTTAATATCCTTCAATAATCGATTTTTGGGTCAATAATCATATAGAAACTTAAATCGTTTATAACTTCGTTAAAACACGTTTAAATTGAAAAATAAGCTTATTTTGTGATCACTCATATTATCCTTCAAAAATCGATTTTTTGTTCAAAAATCATATAGAAACTTATATCGCTTATAACTTCGTTAAAACACGTTTAAATTGAAAAATAAGCTTATTTTGTGATTACTCTCATTATCCCTTCAAAATCGATTTTTTAGTCAAAAATCATATAGAAACTTAAATCGCTTATAACTTCGTTAAAACACGTTTAAATTGAAATATAAGCCTATTTTGTGATCACTCTCATTATCCCTTCAAAATCGATTTTTTGTTCAAAAATCATATAGAAACTCAAATCACTTATAACTCTGTTAATACACGTTTAAATTGAAAAATAAGCTTATTTTGTGATTACTCTCATTATCCCTTAAAAATCGATTTTTTAGTCAAAAATCATATAGAAACTTAAATCGCTTATAAATTCGTTAAAACAAGTTTAAATTGAAAAATAAGCTTATTTTGTGATCACTCTCATTATCCCTTAAGAATCGATTTTTTAGTCAAAAATCATATAGAAACTTAAATCGCTTATAACTTCGCTAAAACACGTTTAAATTGAAAAATAAGCCTATTTTGTGATCACTCTCATTATCCCTTCAATATCGATTTTTTGGTCAGAAATCATATAGAAACTTAAATCGCTTATAACTTCGTTAAAACACGTTTAAATTGAAAAATAAGCTTATTTTGTGATCACTCTTATTATCCCTTAAAAATCGATTTTTTAGTCAAAAATCATATAGAAACTTAAATCGCTTATAACTTCGTTAAAACACGTTTAAATTGAATAATAAGCTTATTTTGTGATCACTCTTAATATCCTTCAATAATCGATTTTTGGGTCAATAATCATATAGAAACTTAAATCGTTTATAACTTCGTTAAAACACGTTTAAATTGAAAAATAAGCTTATTTTGTGATCACTCATATTATCCTTCAAAAATAGATTTTTTGTTCAAAAATCATATAGAAACATAAATCGCTTATAACTTCGTTAAAACACGTTTAAATTGAAAAATAAGCTTATTTTGTGATCACTCTCATTATCCCTTCAAAATCGATTTTTTGGTCAGAAATCATATAGAAACTTAAATCGCTTATAACTTCGTTAAAACACGTTTAAATTGAAAAATAAGCTTATTTTGTGATTACTCTCATTATCCCTTCAAAATCGATTTTTTGGTCAGAAATCATATAGAAACTTAAATCGCTTATAACTTCTTTAAAACACGTTTAAATTGAAAAATAAGCTTATTTTGTGATTACTCTCATTATCCCTTCAAAATCGATTTTTTGGTCAGAAATCATAGAAACTTAAATCGCTTATAACTTCGTTAAAACACGTTTAAATTGAAAAATAAGCTTATTTTGTGATCACTCTCATTATACCTTAAAAATCGATTTTTAGTCAAAAATCATATAAAAACTTAAATCGCTTATAACTCTGTTAAAACACGTTTAAATTGAAAAATAAGCTTATTTTGTGATCACTCATATTATCCTTCAAAAATCGATTTTTTGTTCAAAAATCATATAGAAACTTAAATCGCTTATAACTTCGTTAAAACACGTTTAAATTGAAAAATAAGCTTATTTTGTGATCACTCTCATCATTCCTTCAAAATCGATTTTTTGGTCTGAAATCGTATAGAAACTTAAATCGCTTATAACTTCGTTAAAACACGTTTAAATTGAAAAATAAGCTTATTTTGTGATCACTCTCATTATCCCTTCAAAATCGATTTTTTAGTCAAAAATCATATAGAAACTTAAATCGCTTATAACTTCGTTAAAACACGTTTAAATTGAAATATAAGCTTATTTTGTGATCACTCTCATTATCCCTTCAAAATCGATTTTTTGGTCAGAAATCTTATAGAAACTTAAATCGCTTGTAACTTCGTTAAAACACGTTTAAATTGAAAAATAAGCTTATTTTGTGATCACTCTCATTATCCCTTCAAAATCGATTTTTTGGTCAAAAATCATATAGAAACTTAAATCGCTTATAACTTCGTTAAAACACGTTTAAATTGAAAAATAAGCTTATATTGTGATCACTCTTAATATCCTTCAATAATCGATTTTTTGGTCAATAATCATATAGAAACTTAAATCGTTTATAACTTCGTTAAAACACGTTTAAATTGAAAAATAAGCTTATTTTGTGATCACTCTCATTATCCCTTAAAAATCGATTTTTTGGTCAGAAATCATATAGAAACTTAAATCGCTTATAACTTCGTTAAAACACGTTTAAATTGAAAAATAAGCTTATTTTGTGATCACTCTTATAAATAAGCTTATTTTGTGATCACTCTTATATCCCTTAAAAATCGAT